AAACAGCCAGGCCTGCAGAGAGAAAGCAGAGGTCCCACTGCCGCTGTAATTAGCACTGCCCGGCCCAGTGGGCCCCGGGGGGGTAGGGGACGCATAGATGGGTGCCAGAGCACCCTTGTCCCTTTCCAGGAATGCCTCTGGTCCATATTAGAAGTTAGAGATAAGCTAAAGTTAGTGACGCTCGCCGTGCACCCTTGCTGCGTGACTCATTTCCCTATTGGATCGATGTTAGCGGAGCCCCTGCACTTGTAACCTTACAGGTTGATTGTGGTTTGACCTGCGCTGGGACTTTGCTGTGCAATTAGCCCCGACAAAGGGCCTCGTGGTCATCCCCCACAACCCTCCTGGAAGTCTGGGAGATGTTCTACTTCTTGTTTCCGATAAAGCTCTCCCAGCAAACCTTCTTTGGTTTGCAACTTCATTCCTCCATGCTGTGAGACCACGAACTTGGCACATCGGGCATCTAGCAGTTTGGCAGTTGCTCTCCCCCTCACACTGGGACAGGGCAGGGATGCGTGGAGCAGACCCTGGGGCAGGGTGGAGACTGCTGAGGAGGGTACTGGGGCAGGGTGGGGACACTTAGGGAGGCGTCCTCGCTGGGGTTCTAGAGCCACACCAGGGCTTTGTGGGCTTGCAGGGGGAGCAGCCCTGGGGCGATTTCCTGTTTGGGGGGTGTGCTCCACACTCAGCTGACATGCTGGGCACCTGAGCTTCCTGTCCAGGCAGCTGCCCACTGGCAGCCTGGTGGGCAGGGCTTAGCCAGAGCCTCTCACCTAGAGGCCCTCGCCGCTGCAGGGTGGAGGCCGCATGCTTGCTGAGCCCCATGTGTGTGCGCTGGGTCTGTGGCTGCATGTACACGCTCCTCTGTGTTAGCGCATTGTTTATGTGTGCATTGAGTGTATGGATTTGCCTGTGCCTGAGTGTGGGTTTGCATGGTTGTGTGTGTTGCCCATTGAGAGTACATATCCGTACAGTTGTGCTCCGTGTGTGAATATGTGTCTGCGTGGCTGTGTGTTTGTGCTTGTGTTGGTCTTTATGTGTGCACACATGTGAGTGTGTGCATGGTAGTGTGTTTGCATGTTTGTGAATGTGTTTGCCTTGTGTGTGTTTGCACTGTGTAAGCATGTCTTTGTGGTTGGGTTTGCACGTGTGTAAGCACATGTACACTGTTGTGTGTGGGTTTGCACATGTCCACATAGTTGTGTATGTTGCACTGTGTACATGTGTACATGGTCCAGTGTGTACATGTATGTGTGTCCACGTGTGTGCATGGCTGTGTGTGTCTGCATGTGTGAGCGTGCGCGTGCATGAGTGTGCCCGTCCTCTTTGGTTCCTGTGTTGTCATCAGGACTGTGGCCCCCGCCCATCACCGAGCTGAGCTCTGTTACCATTCTGAGGCATTTCCTCGGCGCTGTTGTTTGTGTTCTCGTAAAACCGGGGTTCCTGTGTGGGCTGAGCACCGTCTGCTTTGCACAAAGCCATGTCCCCTGCTCTCTGCCCTGGGCCCGGATGCCCTGCGCTCTGTCCCCAGGCTGTGGATGGTCCCTTAGGTGGATGAGGCTGTCTGTGCTGTGCTGTGCTGGCTCTGAGGGAGACGGGGAGGCTGGCAGGGCTGCACAGGGCAGGTAGGGTGGGCAGAGTGCCCGGCTTGTTACCCATGTGCTGTACTAGGCCTCTCCAGAGAGACAATTTGAGGACCCAGGAAAACAGCCCCTAAAGAAACCTCTCTTGATGAGTGGGGCTGTGCTGACCCCAGGGCAGGGGCCAGTGTGGGCAGTGATGGACAGAGTTGCCTCTTGTTCGAGGGGCGCGAGTGTCCTCAAGGTCCAGAAGAGCCTGGCCTGGTGAGTGACAGGGATCCCTCGGCATGGGAGGTAGGGTTCCTTCTGAACCACTTCCAGTTCTCAGTGGGGGTCAAATAGCCACCATGGCCCATCTTGGTCGTGTTTATGGCACAGTCAGGGGTAAGCCCATCTACACTGGATGCAGCCAGCATGGCCCTGCACCTCCAGCACTGCCCATTTTCCCAGGGCCAGCTCTGCCCCATTGGATGCTGACCCTAGCCCCCTGGTCCTGGGCCTGTCCTGCTCTGTCCTGTGGACTTGCCGGCCCCATACCTCCTTGTCCTTCTGTGAGCGGTTCATCTCATAAAACCTCATCCCTGCCTGGGAGGGTCAAAGACTTGTTTTTAAGAGCAGAATAGTATTCCAGAGTGCGGATGGGCTGTATGTTCCGGGTCCATTTGTCCACCAGTGCACACTCGGAGGCTCACACTTTGGCTCTTGTCACTGATGTTACTGATGTTACTGATGTTACTCTGACCCTGGGTGTGCAAATCCCTCTAGAGACCCTGCCTTCCGCTGTTTGGGGGTGTGAACCAGGAACAGTACTTTAACTTTTGTGTGCAGATTTTATATTGAGAAAAATGCCCTTCGCAGGGTTTGGGGACCTCTGCCAGCACCAGGTCCCTCTTCTCCCCGGGCCAGAGGTCCCAAGGGTCTGACTGGCAGTGAAGGGCACCTGAAGGCTCCGGTGATGACACGGGCCAGAAGGTCGGAGGATTATGGGGCCAGAGGCAAGGAGGGGATGCAGGTGGGCAGAGTGGGTGTGGGACCCCAGTTGTGCAAGGCCAGCGCTGGCCCTCAGGGGTGCCCGGGAGGTCTTTGAGGAGGATGTGGAGCCAGAGCGGGTCCTGGGCCAACGGCACACCTGAGGGGCAGGGCGGTCTTTGGCCCTGCCCGGTCCTGGGAGGAATTCTGTTTGCCCTGTGATTCAGAAAACAAACACACGCAAGCTTCAAATCAGTGCGGCCCCACCGTAAAGTCAAATTTGCGCCGCTCCTTTCCTCTGGGGCCAGGGCACAGCCCCCACCCTGCACCCCAGGCCAGGGGCCTCCGCCCTGGAGGGGACTCAAGACATCTCTGCTCCTGCAGGAAGGCCCTGCTGGGTAACCCAGAGCCCACCCTTCTGTGAGCATGGTGCAGGGGTGGGGCCCCCCACCTGGGCCAGGAGCCCCTCCCCGAGCCCACCTCCAGCTCGCCAGCCTGAGGGACCTCCATCTTTCTCACTAAGTCATTCTCCAGTTACAGCTCAAAGTCCCACTCCATGGGAGGACAGGTGCTCCCCCAACCAGTCTTGGCGGGAGGCGCAAACCCTCCGGTTGCCCTGTGTGGGAGGCCGCTGTGAGGGTTCATCCACTTGCTTCGCCCTCTGAGCTTGAGACAAGACCCTGGCCCTAATGCCCCAGTGGTGTGGCCCTGGACCCCTCTGAGCCTCAGGCGGACTGCCCCCGGCAGGTCACCTTGCAGGGGCCGTGCCAAGATGAAGTGACGCTCAGAGGTGGAGGGATCCCAGTGCTGCGCCCCAGCCGGGGCATCAGCGTGCGATGCTCGCACCGGCATCTGAGGGTGCTGAGATGGGTGTGCTGCTGTGGGGAGTCCTGGGGCCCAGGGAGACTGGCTTCACCCCCAGGGGAGCACAGGGCGGGTGGGTGGACTATGGGTGGACACCTCTCGGCACCCAGGTCACACCAACTCTGCCTGGTCCACGTGTCCAGATGCGGCTGTTTCTTGCCCCCCCCCCCATGGGCCTGATCCCAACCAGATCTGCTGCGGCTTAATCTCCCCTGAGTCACCGGGGTTCACCACCAGGACAAAGGGGCTATTGGACATTCACTTCTGGTTCCAGATCGGGGCAGGCAGGATTAGTGGCCTGACTATAGCATGGCAGCGATGCTCTGGGATGTGGTCATAGCCTCCGCCCTGTCCGGTCCCCGATGGTCTTTCCGTCTCCGTGGTGACACCTGGGGACATAACCCAGCCCTTTCCTGCTGGACTCCAGTAACCTTGACCTCATCAAATCCAGGCCAGAGCTGAGGAACTCTAGGTCCAGGGCCTTGGCCGTGTGCCCTCTTGTGCCACCCATGTGCAGGTCCCCCCCACGAGTGAGCCTCATTGGCTTGGCACAGTTCTTCCCACAAGTCAGCAGGGCAGAAGGAGCCTGACTTTGGAGGCCAAGTCCCCAGCTTTGCACCCCAGGGCGCCGGCCTGTGAGCTGCTCTGGTCGCCAGGCCGGGCTGGTCTAGAGCCAAGAGCTTGCGCACCACAAGGGCCCAGGTGGGTGGACTGGCTTTGCAGGGCACCTGAGGAGTGCCCGGGTCTGGCTTTCTGTGGGGTAAGGTGGTCAGCCCAGGTGCCATGCTCCATGGCTCAGATGCCTGAGGATGCCTACCTGGCCAGCGTCCCCAACCCCTTGGCCCTAGCCACAGGGCCCAAGCTACCGGACACTCAGCCCAGCCTTTGAGGCAGGGACAATGATAACCCGCTGCTGGCCAGTGACTCACTTGGGTCAGGGGCCGAGGTGTGGATCCCACAGTGACTCAGGCCTGGGGCCTTGGGCCAGGGGCAGGCACTGGCCGTGCCCCCTCCTGCCTCCTGGAGGGCATGGCAAGGGCAGGACCTCGTCACTCTCCTGCCCCTGCTTGGTTCATGGCCTACAGCCCCCATGGCCACCCCTGCACCCAGTGCAGGGGCGGGGGTCCCAGCCTGGGGCCACCTGCCCTGCCCACGGCATATCCTGCTGCCTCTGTCAGCAGCAGTCCAGTGCTGAGGCCAAGATGAGGTTTGGAGTCTGGAGCCCCAGCCGCTGGCCTCTGTGCAGCTTATTCCCGCAGTCACACTTCCCTCACTTACAGCCCCCACGCCAGCCCCGTGACGCCCCCTGAGGCACTTGCGCCCCAGCAGGGCAGAGTCCAAGGCCCAGGCACTGCATGTGTGCACAGTGTCGCAGCTGTCCGCGCAGTGGCCTCTGGAGGCAGCAGGACGTCAGAGGTGCCTGGAGCCTGTGGGTGGGGGTGAGTGGCAGGAGCCTGGGGCAGCCCCGCCCTCTGCCTGGGTGGCCCAGGGCAAGTGCCCGTGTTTACCTGGGTGAGGGGGTGCCCCGCCTTCCAGGGAGCCCCTACAAAAGGCCACCACCGCCCAGTGCCTCCTCAGAGGCTGCCACGGGGTCATCCCCACGCTCACACCATGGGTCCCGGCCGCAGGACGCTGGCCGTGCTCTGGGCCCTGGTCCTGGCCTGTGCCCAGCACTCAGGTAAGATGGTGAGGACCAGGCAGCTCATGTGATCATGTGCCAGGCTGGAGGCTGGGGCTCCTAGCTGGGCGGCAGGATGTGTGTCTTGTAGCCCTGTGGGCCTGCTGGGTATCTTGAGGTCTTTCCCAGGCCTGTCCCCAGGGTCCTGTGATACCTGGAGGATGCCTCCCACATGGGTGGCTGGAGTGGTGGTGACAGAGGCCCCGGGTGCACGTAGAGTGGGGCCAGCCGCCCTCTCCCAGCACCTTCCGGAGCAACAGCCTCTGAGGAAGCGGCAGACTCCCTGCCCGGTTGCTCTTCCCCTGGGGGCTGGCTCTCAACTGTGCCCTCTGTGCCCATGCTGGACCCCCTGCGAGGCTGGGACCCTCCCCAGGCGCTCAGAGGAAGGCTGGTCAGGGTAGGCCTGGGTGAGGGGCCAGAGCTCCATAAGTGCAGCAGTGGTACCTGCCTTGACCGGTGTTGTGCCCACGTGGTCCTGCTGAGGAGAAGAGCTCTCGCTGGTCCTGCTGCCTCTGCAGAGCCATGTTGGGCCTGGGTTCTCCCACTGCCCCTGCTGCCCAGGCCTCGGCAGCCCCAGACTGACATGCAGGAAGGGGACTCTGAGGGGACCATGCTGGGAGGTGAAGGAGCAGAGATGCGAGCAGCATGCGGGGGACCTGATCCTCCTCTGTCCTCTGTGTGCATCTCACAGGAGGAGTTGACCAAAGCCTTGGGGCAGCAGGATGCAGCGGGCACAGGGTGCTCCAACCCTGAACAGGCCGGGAGTGGGTAGTGGGCTCGGGAGGAAGTGAGGCAGCTCTGCCCAAGACCCTCTGCAGGTGTAGGGGTGGGGCGGCCAGCCACACGGACCGCAAGGCTGTGTGGCCAGCATCTGGTCACAGATGCACCTGCAGCACAGCCTGTGGCCCCAGAAGCCTCCTCTCCAGGGTCTGCATCGTAGGCTGTCGTCTGGGCTCTGTCCCTGGTCCCTAGACAGAGCAGGGCCTGAGAGGGCAGATGCTCAATGACTGGAAACGTGGGAGCGTCCAGCAGTCATCAAGGGCGACCTCAGACAACCAGCCCCATGGACAGAGACGCCCTGCACCCTGCTCAGGCTGTGCCCTCTTCCACAGGCTTGGCCCAGGAGGACTCCCTGAAATCCAGCCACGAGACCTCCCCCAACCTCTCTCCCCAGCAAGGACACGGGGGTGAGTCTCAGCCTTCTGCGCCCCAGGCCAGCTGATCCTGATCCATCCCAGTGACCACTGCAAGGGCTCAGGACTTGGGGCCTGGGGGCACCCGGCCTGCATGGCTCTACCTGTCCCTCTCTAGCCCAACCCCTGGGGGAGTTGCAGAAACGCTGCCAAGCCGGCATGTCCCCCACAGAACATCTGTTACTTCAGGGGCACCTAGCTGAGGCCTTGCCCAGGACAGGGCAGAAGGCAGGGCTGTCCGCAGTTTCCACAGAGGAACGCAGGGCAGGGAAAGGTGGGAGGCCTTCCTGCTCACTGGGGCCAGCAGGCAGCCAGTGTCCACGGGAGGGGTCTGGGGCTTCCGGGCCCACTTAGCATCCAGTTTGCATTTCCTGAAGCCAGGCCACACTGGGGGCGCCTGAGCCTAGGGCCAGCATCTGAGACTGAATAGACTCAAGTACCTGAGATCTCCCCCCCCCCTGCAGACAGATGGTTCTGGGCCCCAGGGCGGGGAGGGAGGTGTCAGCCGTCCCTGCACTGCACCCCACATGCGCCTGACACTCAAGCTATAGTGCCTGACTGGACGGGGCTCCCACGCTAGGCACTTGCCACAAGTCCTGTCTCCACAGGCCGCCCACTCCTCGGGGTGACCGTCCTGCCCCCTCTGACGACTGCCCCTGTGTTGCGAGGTGAGGAACCCCAGGGCCCGTGGGGAACACCCTGGGGAATGGTGGGGCTTGGTATGGAAGTGGGCTGGCAGAAAATGGGGTCCCCCTTTGGGGGTGACTCTGAACAAGTTAGGAAAGGGGCAGAGCCACTGCTGGCCATTCCCAGGGCTCCTCGAGGCAGGGCTAGCCCAGATGCCACCCTGGGGCAGGGCTGTGGGGGGCTGGGCATGGGGTAGGGGTGCCTGGCAGTCACCATTTCCCGGCTCCCCGCAGCCCTGAACCCCGCACACACGGGGCGCGTCTGCAGCACCTGGGGCGACTTCCACTACAAGACCTTCGACGGCGCCGTCTTCCGCTTCCCCGGCCTCTGCAACTACGTGTTCTCCGCGCACTGTGGCGCCGCCTACGAGGACTTCAACGTGCAGCTGCGCCGAGGCCCGGGGTCCAGTGCCACGGCCCCTAACAGGGTCGTCATGAAGCTCAACGGCCTGGTCGTCGAGCTGGCCAGGGACTCCGTCCTGGTCAACAGTCACCCGTGAGTCCTGGGGCTGTGGTGAGTCTAGGGACCACGGGTGGAGCAGAGCACAGGAGCCAGGAAGGGGCAGGGTGGTGGCCGGGCCCAGTTCTCCAGGGACCCAGTGAGCGGGGAACCCTCTTGGTGGGGTCACCTCCTGTCCTAACCGCCAGCCCCTCCCTCAGGGTCCAGCTGCCTTTCAGCCAGGCCGGAGTCCTCATAGAGCACAGCAACGGCTACGTGAAGGTGGTGGCCAAGCTGGGCCTGGTGTTCACCTGGAACCCGGATGACAGCCTCACGGTGAGCACAGGTGGGGGGCAGACAGAACTTCCTGGAGCGCGAGGGGCCCCCTCCTGATGCCCTCTCCAGAGAGGGCACAAAGGGCTCTGGGTGAGGAGGGTAAGAAGGCCGGACTCAAAGAAAAAAAAAAAAAAAAAAAAAAAAAAAAAAAGAAGGCCGGACCCGCACCTGGCAGGTGAAGATGGGGACCTGGGCGCCCCAAGGAGGACTTGCCTGTGGGAGCATCTCCCCCAGGCCTGCTTGAGAATGGAGCTCCCTGCAGATTGTGGGGAGGGACCAACAGCCCACATCTCCACCGGGAGACCCTGGCCCCTCCCTGGGAATTTGTCCCTTGTGTGCCGGGCATCCCTGGTGGGGCCAGCATCTGATGTCCTCCCCAATTGCAGCTGGAGCTGGACACCAAATACGCCAACAAGACCTGCGGGCTCTGCGGAGACTTCAATGGTGTCCCGGAGGCCGGCGAGTTCCTGTCCCACAGTAAGCCCCAAGCATTTCCCATGCCGGCACACAGTCCCAGCAGGTGCACCTGCGCCCACAGCACCTGCCCAGGCCCTACACGTGCACACCCTTGTGCCTCCCAGGTGCGTGTGGCTGCAAATGTCTGCCAGGCCCCTGGATCTCAGTGGCTGAGCCACATCCTGCCCCCTGTCCCCTGCCCATGGCCTGTGGAACCCCAGCTAGCCCACCAATAAGGGGTACCTGGCCATCCATGGGGCCTCTAGGATGCTGAGTTGGGGTCTGGGGCCCACAGCAGAGCTGCTCTTGTTCCCTGAAGATGCCAGGTTGACCCCTCTGGAGTTCGGAAACTTGCAGAAGATGGATGGCCCCATGGAGCAGTGCCAGGACCCCAGCCCTGCACCCCAGAACTGCTCGATCAGTCTTGTGAGCTTCAGGGTACTTAGGTGGCAGGGAGGGCAGGAGCAGGCACATCTGTGGATCCGGGCCTGACCTCTGGGGTCCGGGTCGCCCCCAGGGCATCTGCGAGGAGCTGCTGAACAGCTGGCTGTTTGCGGGCTGCACAGACCTGGTGGAGGTCAGCGGCTACGTTGAGGCCTGCCAGCAGGACCTCTGCCACTGCAAGCGCGCCCACCTTCCTGACTGCCTCTGCCACACCCTCGCCGAGTTCTCCCGGCAGTGTGCCCACGCCGGCGGGCAGCCCCAGGACTGGCGGAGTCCCGATCTCTGTCGTGAGTGCCCCGCCCGTCATCCTGTCGCACCCCAGGCGGGCAGGGAAGGGGCCTGACGTGAGCCCACCTTTCCCCTGCAGCCCAGACGTGCTCGGCCGGCATGCAGCACCGAGAGTGCGGCTCACCCTGCACTGACACCTGCTCCAACCCCCAGCGCTCCCAGCTGTGCGAGGACCACTGCGTGGCCAGCTGCTTCTGCCCCGAGGGTGAGCCTCTCCCCGCCTCACTAGGAACCTTTACACTGCTGTGGTCCTTCTGGGCCGAGTCCTCATCCCACGGTGCTGCCCCCTGCAGGGATGGTGCTGGACGACATCCAGCACGCCGGCTGTGTTCCTGTGTCCCAGTGTGCTTGTGTGTACAACGGGACCTCCTATGCGCCGGGGGCCAACTACTCCACAGACTGTACAGAGTGGTAGGTCTGGGGCTTCCCCACCCAAGTGCAAGGGGCAGTCCCGACATGGGAGGCTGTGCAGCCAGCTGTCCTCAGCCTACAGACGGCTGTCTCCTCCTGCCGCACACAGCACCTGCATGGGAGGTCACTGGCGCTGCCAGGAGCTGCCATGCCCCGGAACCTGCTCGGTGCTGGGCGGTGCCCACTTGTCCACATTCGATGAGAAGGAGTACACGGTGCACGGGGACTGCAGCTACGTGGTGACCAAGGTGTGGACCCTGCCTCCCCGGCCAGCTGCGTGTTTCTGCTGCACCAGGGAAACCGCAGGGTCCCCAGGACTGGACGTGGGGACACGCTCAGCCCCGGACTCCCGGCCGGAGCACCGGGTGACCTCTCTGACCTTGGGTTTTACTTTACACTAGACTATGTTTTAGGTTCATAAATAAGTCGAGCAGGAAGTACGGGGACTCCACACACCCCAACCATCTCCTGTTACTGGCATTTCCAGTGCATTTGTCACCGTGGTGACACGCCAGTGTCCTCATTGTCCCTGGGCTCTGCCAGGCTCACTGTCCATGTGCAGAACATCCTGTGTCTGCCATTAGCAGAACACAGACCAGTGTCACTGTCCCAGCACGCTGGGCGCGTCCCTGCCTCCCTCCCTCCCAGTGGTCACTCAGCCTTTCCCTTGAGCCCCTGGGTTGGAATTCCACGGTGGCCGCCTTCTCAGGGGGCCAGTCCCCACCAGGGCTGCAATGTGCTTCCCTCTCTCCTGGATCACCTGGGCTCCCCCTGGGAGTCAGGCAGGTGGAGGGGCGGGTGGGGCGCCCAGTGAAAGGATGGCTGTGGCTGGACGAGGTGGCTGTGCAGGGCGTGAATGCCTGTGTGTCCCTGCAGCCCTGTCAGGGTAGCACCTTTGCCGTGCTGGCCGAGCTGCGCCGGTGTGGGCTGACGGACAGCGAGACCTGCCTGAAGAGCGTGACCCTGAGCCTGGGCGGGGGGCAGACGGTGAGTGTGGGGACCACTGCCTCCGCCCGGGCCTCGGTCTGCAGCAGCGAGAGCAGTGCGGGGCTTCAGGGACGGAAGTGGGATGGGGACCCCCGGGGGGGGCCTCCTACCACAGGTCTGTCCTCGGAGCTCAGGTGCCAGCCGCGCCTGTTGAGTCTTCTGGGTGACTGTCCCCATGCAGGGATGAGGCCCTGCCCCCACTGCCCTCCTGGCCGCGGGGAACAGGGGGTTGAGCATCTACTGAAGTTGACTTTGTATAAATTAACTTAGGTTTTTGCATTGGGTTAAAAAATGTTTGGTCCTCATGGACAGTTCAGAAAATCGGGATGAGCTGCAGGGTAGGACTCAGGGTGTTAGCGCATGGAGGGTGGGCGCTATGGCCCATGGACAAAGTCCCCCAGCACGAGCTGGCCAGTTTGCAGCCTCTGGGGCTGGTTTGCAGGGGTCCTGCGTGACCTGTGCTGACCCCACCACCGCTGCCTCCAGGTGGTGGTGGTGAAGGCCAGTGGCGAGGTGTTCATGAACCAGATCTACACCCAGCTGCCAGTCTCTGCAGGTGAGCCCTGCCCCGCCCGGGCTGCTGTGGGTCCTGCCCATGCAGCCAGCAAGCTGTGCCCTCTGTGTCCACAGCCAACGTCACCATCCTGAAACCCTCCACTTTCTTCATCATCGCGGAGACCAACCTGGGGCTGCAGCTGCATGTCCAGCTGGTGCCCACTATGCAGCTGTTCGTGCAGCTGGCGCCTGAGCTCCAAGGACAGACCTGTGGTAGGAGGCCACCTGGGGGGTCCCCATCCCGCTTCCGTCCCTGTCCCTGAGCCCCATGGGGCCTCAACTGCCTTCCTGCCCTAGGTCTCTGCGGGAACTTCAACCAGAACCAGGCCGACGACTTCCGGACCATCAGCGGGGTGGTGGAGGGCACAGGCGCCGCCTTCGCCAACACCTGGAAGACCCAGGCCTCCTGCCCCAATGCCAAGAACAGCTTCGAGGACCCCTGCTCGCTCAGCGTGGAGAATGGTGTGTGGTGTGCATCTGGCTGCCCCAGGGCCAGGCAGAGGCTGTGTCCATGCTCCCGCCAGCTCTTGCCAGCCGCTGGGGCTTTATCCAGGGGCGAAAATGGGGCCCTGCTTCAGCGCAACAGGAAGGACATAGGTCCTGGGCTCACTTACTGGTGACAGGACTCCAGTGGGGAGCTGGCCCTGGGCTGCTTTGTCCCCTCCCTCTGTGGCCGAGGAAGCAGGTGAAGGCCTGGAGGGGTCTATGCCCATCTGCTCGCTGTGGGGGCCCTTGTGGCCCCAGGAGGTGGCCAGGCACAGGGAAGGTGGTGACACCATGGCCTCACCATGCTCCGTGCTTTGGGGAATGCTGTGTCCCTGCCTTTGTTGCCATCTGTAATGTGGCCAAGGACTGGCTGTGCCAGGCACCGCTGGCACCTGGTGGGAACTGCTAAGGCACGTGGTGGAAGACAGCTCCCTCTGTCCACAGAGAAGTACGCCCAGCACTGGTGCGCGCTGCTGACGGACGCTGATGGCCCCTTTGCCCAGTGCCACGCCACCGTGAACCCCAACTCCTACTACTCGGTGAGGCTTGCTGGGCCCCACTGCCGCCATGGTGGTGCCCAGGGAGGCTGGGAGGACGCCATGTGACCGCTCCAAGGGCCAGGCAGGGCACAGGGCCCACACCTGACTCCCCACCCCACCCCCGCCCTACCCACTCATTCATCCCCTGCCCACCTGTGTGCCCGACACCGGGCTCATGGCCAGACCTCAAGGTTACAGTGGAGCTGTGCTTAGCATCTGATCCCAGAGCTGAGGGAGGCGGCCCGTGAGGCCTGGCTCCTAGATGCCAGTAAAGCTCCCCTGAGGCTTGGGGGCTCGGGGAGGGAACTGGAGGGGCACAGGGTGCTCGACATGGGCGGGTCCTGACCCTCCGCTGCCCCCAGAACTGCATGTTCGACACGTGCAACTGCGAGAAGAGCGAGGACTGCCTGTGCGCCGCCCTGTCCTCCTACGTGCAGGCCTGCGCCGCCAAGGGCGTGCTGCTCCGCGGCTGGCGGGACGGCGTCTGCAGTGAGTGCCCATGCCCACCCGAGGACCCTGCTGCCCGAATGCTGGTCCAGGTCCCCGACCTGACTGTCTCTCTTCCTGCCCCACAGCGAAGCCCACGACCACCTGCCCCAAGTCGATGGTCTACCAGGAGCACCTGAGCACCTGTCAGCCCACCTGCCGCAGCCTCAGTGAGGCAGACGTCACCTGTAGCGTGTCCTTCGTGCCCGTGGACGGCTGTGCCTGCCCCGCGGGCACCTTCCTGGATGAGGCGGGCGCATGTGTGCTGGCCCACGAGTGTCCCTGCTACCACGGGGGCTCTGTGGTCCCCAGTGGCGAGTCTGTGCATGACAGCGGGGCTGTCTGGTGAGGCCCGGGCTCAGGGGTGGGGAAGAGACCCCGTGTCCCCCATGGGACACTCGAGCTCCCACCCTCTCCTTCCAGCACTTGCACACGGGGCACGCTGACCTGCATCGGGAGGCTCGAGCCCAGCCCAGGTGAGCCTGGTCCCTATCCCGTGAGACGCCCCAGGCTGGCATACCCAGTGACGGGGAGCACGGGGTGCAGGCTCCTGTACCCATGCGCGTGAACACAGACACACGCACGACACACAATGCTCAGTGCAAACCCCCACACCGGGGCACGGGTGGGCACACACTCGGCCGTCTGGGAACGCATAGGTTGAAGCTGCACCACAATCCGTGGTCCCCCGCGGGCCTGAGTTGCTGGCTGGGGTCCCGAGTGCCGTCTTTCCACAGCGTGCTATGCGCCCATGGTGTACTTCGACTGCCGCAACGCCACCCTGGGGGCTGCTGGGGCTAGCTGCCAGAAGAGCTGTCATACCCTGGACATGGCCTGCGTGAGTGCCGGCCACCCTAGCGACCCCATGGCTCCCGGTGACCCCTCATGGCCCCTGGAGGTCTTGCGCTGTCCTGGATAGGGGCTGCTGGGCACCCTCTCAGGCGTCCCAGGGACACCACCTGAACTTGGCTGGGCTCACGGCTTCCATGGCTCTGCATCCTGTGGCCACCTCTCTCTCAGGGGACAGGGAGGGTCCTGCAGACCATCCCCTCCCGCTGAGCGGTGTGCACACGTCCCACAGTACAGCACCCAGTGCATCTCGGGCTGCGTGTGCCCTGATGGGCTGGTGGCGGACGGTGACGGAGGCTGCGTTGCCGAGGAGGACTGTCCTTGCGTGCACAACGAGGCCAGCTACCGGCCTGGGGAGACTGTCCTCGATGGCTGCAATACCTGGTAGGTGGGGCTGAGTCCCAGGGTACAGGTTGCCACCCATTCACTGGACAGAGGTCCCTGTTAGGCATGGAGTGACCAGCACAGAGCTGGGGGGATGGGTGGACCAGGCAGCCCGGGCATGAAACCCTCACAGCACCGGCACCTGTCTGACCTTGCGCCCCACAGCACCTGTGAGAACCGGATGTGGCGGTGCACGGACGAACCCTGTCTGGCCACCTGTGCCGTCTATGGGGATGGCCACTTCCTCACCTTCGACGGGCAGCGCTACACCTTCAATGGGGCCTGCGAGTACACGCTGGTGCAGGTGCATGGCTGCCTGGGGGCTGCCAGGACTCCCGGCTGTCCTGGGGGTCCCAGCCCACCTGACCACGTCCTTCTGCTCCCCAGGACCAGTGTGGTGGGAATGGCAGTGCTGGGGATGCCTTCCGCGTGATCACCGAGAACGTCCCCTGCGGCACCATGGGGACCACCTGCTCCAAGGACATCAAGATCTTCCTGGGGGTGCGAAGGGCTTGTGGGATGGGTACGGCGACGTGGGAGGGGAGGGGTCCCTGCCAGTCCCTGAGGGAGCCCTGCCGTACAGAGCTACGAGCTGAAGCTGAGCAGTGGGAAGGTGGAGGTGGTCCAGATGGGCACCGGGCAGGAGCCGCCCTACACTGTGCGCCAGATGGGCATCTACTTGGTGGTGGACACTGATGCTGGCCTCGTGCTGCTCTGGGACCGGAAAACCAGTCTCTTCCTCATGCTCAGTCCCGAGTTCAAGGTGAGACCCATCGAGGGAGGCTACTGCTGTTGGCCCCCCGGGCTCTGCTGGACACACAGACAGGAAGGGGAACAGAGACAGAGAGAGAGAGAGCGAGAGAGAGAGAGCGAGAGAGAGAGAGCGAGAGAGAGAGAGAGAGAGAGAGAAAGAGAGAGACAGAAAAGGACAGAGAGACAGAGGGACAGAGATAGGTGGACTGAAACAGGCAGACAAGAGAAAAAGAGAGAGAGGGAGAGAGAGAGAGAGAGAGAGAGTGTGAGATTGGGGCAGGGGGTGGAAACTCAGCCTACAGGGCAGGCCTGGCAGCCAGGGCATTTCCGGCTCCCTCTCTGCATGGCTGGCCCCAACCTGGCCACAGTGGTCCATGGTCCCCTGCAGTGACTGGCAGATCAAGTTGGAGGAGGAGGGAGAAGGCACTTGTGCAGGGTGAAGGGGATGTGGCCTCCCTGGGGTCTCGGGCAGGGCCTGGACCAGCCTTTGCCTGCAGCTCCAGTCCTGGACAGGGGAGGTTGGAGTCAGTGTGCACCCTGGGACCCCAGGGGACCTCTCCTTCACCCTGTCCCTCCCCTCTTCAGGGCAGGGTCTGTGGCCTGTGCGGGAACTTCGATGACAACGCCATCAATGACCTGACCACGCGCAGCCAGGCTGTGGTGGGTGATGCGCTGGAGTTCGGGAACAGCTGGAAGTTCTCACCCACCTGCCCGGATGCTGTGGCGCCCAAGGACCCCTGCACAGCCAACCCGTACCGCAAGTCCTGGGCCCAGAGGCAGTGCAGCATCATCAACAGTGCCACCTTTGCCACCTGCCATGCCCACGTACGCTTGGGGATGTGTAGAGGACAGTGGCTGAGAAAGGGAAGGGCTGGCACCATTAGCACGGGTGGCTGGGCCCAGTGGGGACTGGCACCAGCTCTCTCAGACACAGCCGTGGCTTCGGGGCTGTGGGGTGTTGATTCTGTGGCTGCCAGGGGGGCTGTGCAGCTGGAGCTTCCCAGGGTCTCACTGGTCTGGGGACGCTGTGATAGACCTGGCCAGCCACCTGGGGTGAGGCACTGGGAAACCGGCCCAGGTCACCCAGCCAGCCCGACCCCTGAGAGCCCGGGGAAGTGGGGAGCCTGGTGTCTGAACCCTGCGTTCTTCAGGTGGAGCCGGCCAAGTACTACGAGGCTTGTGTGAGCGACAGCTGCGCCTGCGACTCGGGGGGCGACTGCGAGTGCTTCTGCACCGCCGTGGCTGCCTACGCCCAGGCCTGCCATGCGGCGGGGGTGTGTGTGTCCTGGAGGACGCCCGACGTCTGCCGTGAGTGCACAGGCTGGCTGTGGGGTGTGGGTTTAGGAGCGGAGGTCACTGGTGAAGCCTGGGGTCAGGGTAGAGCTGGCTCGGGCTGGGACCTGGTGTGGCTTCTCCAAGGCTGGGAGACCTGACCTGGCGTGGCCGGGAGGGTACGAGCAGGGCAGTCTAGAGGGCTGTGGCAGGGTGCTCTCTGGGCCCAGCCCCCTCTGCCCTCTGCCCAGCACTCTTCTGCGACTACTACAACCCCGCCGGGGAGTGCGAGTGGCACTACCAGCCCTGCGGGGCGCCCTGCCTGCGCACCTGCCGGAACCCCAGCGGCCGCTGCCTTCAGGACCTTCGCGGCCTGGAAGGTGGGTTGGGCTGTGTGCGAGAGGTGGGGGTCTGTCCTGTGGCTGGAGGGCACTGGGGACGGGATGGAGGCCTCCCTGGCACTCAGGCCTCCCTGGCCCACAGGCTGCTACCCCAAATGCCCCCCGGGGGCTCCTATCTTCGACGAGGAGAAGATGCAGTGTGTGGCCGAGTGCCCTTCCTCCACCTCCGCGCCGCCCTGCCACATCCACGGGAAGTTGTACCGTGTGGGCGCAGCAGTGCCCTCTGCTGAGAACTGCCAGTCCTGGTGAGTCCCTGCAGGAGGCCTGTGGCCTTGTCCCTGTGGCCCACATGCCTTGGCCAAGTTTCAGGGTATCTTAGGGCTCCCAGGTGGGGTGCAGGGGGGATGTGGAACCTAGACAGCACCCAGAGACACAGGGGGTGCTGCCCTCATCCCATGCAGGGACGTGGTCTGAACTCTCACCCCGCCCGCCTCTGCTGGTTACTGTTGGGGTCAGTCCTCGGTGGGCGGTGTGACCTTGGGGAAGAAGCCTGGCAGGGATGGGGCGACTGTCTCAGCCACCAGCGCTGGGCCCAGGACCCCAGTGCCAACCTCTTCCTCCCCTCACCAGCGTCTGCACGGAGAGTGGTGTGCGCTGCACCTACGACACCGAGGGTGAGTAGCCGCGGGGGCCAGCGCTGGCTGGGGGCCCTGTCTCTGCCTGAGCCCCTCACGGGCATCGTTGTTCCCCACAGCTTGCTTCTGCACCTATGATGGACGGCGCTTCCAGCCAGGGGCCAAGATCTACCACACGACGGATGGCATGGGTGGCTGCCTCTCTGCCAGTTGTGGGGCCAATGGCACCATCGAGAGGAGGGTCTACGCCTGCGGCTCCCTCAGCACCCTGCCGCCCACCACCTTCACCTTCTCCACGGTGTCCCAGGGTAAGGCTGGGGCTCGCAGCGTGACCACCCCTTCTCACCACCTGTCACCCTGCAGCCTCCCTGCTGCTTAGCATGCAGGGACATGGCTTGGGGACCAGACGCCCCAGGACCTAGCCTTTTGGGGTGCTTCAGGACCCCAGGCATCACCAGGGCCTCCCGGAATGAAGAGCAGGGGACACAATGGTGGCTTTGCCTGGGGCCAGCCAGAGTGAGTCCCGCAGGGAGGCAAGGTTGGGAACGGCTGAGCCCTGTGCCTGTTGTTGCCAGGCTGGGCCCGAGCCAGTGGCCAGGCAGCTCACAGGCAGCGGGGATGCCGGGCCAGGCAGTGGGCAGTTGGATGTGGCCCCGGCACCCAGCTGTGGATCCTCTGTCCACAGCCAAGAGCTCGACACACTCCCCAGGCACACAGCCTCCCTCCACCCGGAGCACAGCACCCACAGGCCCCCGGAGCAGCACCCGGCCCCTTGCCACCCACACGTCGCGCAGGGAGACGTCGGCCGAGGCCCCCACGACCTCCTGGCCTTGTGGGGAGGAGTGCGTGTGGTCCCCTTGGCTGGACGTCAGCCACCCTGGGCGTGGCATTGACAGCGGGGACTTCGACACACTGGAGAACCTTCGTGCCCACGGGTACCAGCTGTGCCAAGCACCCAGGGAGGTGCAGTGCCGGGCAGAGGATGCCCCCGACGTGCCCCTGGACGTCCTAGGACAGCGTGTGGAGTGCAGCCCCTCTGTGGGGCTCACCTGCCACAACCGGGACCAGGTGTCAGGGCTCTGTGACAACTACCAGGTCCGGGTCCTGTGCTGCCACCCTGTGCCCTGCCCCACTTTCTCTGGCCCCACAGCCTCCTCTTCTGCTCCCATCACGCACACGGGCCTGGCCACTGTCCCCACTGCCACAGTGACCCCCTCACCAGCTACAGCCACAGTCTCGGTCTCGAGTGCGAAGCCGGGGCCAAACACCGCGTCCTGTCGACAAGAGCAGTGCACCTGGACCGGCTGGATCGACGGCAGCTACCCTGGGTCCAGCAGAGACAGTGGCGACTTTGACACCTTTCCTGACCTGCGGGCACGCGGATACAAGTTCTGCGACAGGCCCCGGAGTGTGGAGTGCCGAGCGCAGTTCTTCCCGGACACACCGCTGGCCGAGCTAGAGCAGAAGGTGACCTGCAACACTGAGGTGGGGCTGCTCTGCCTGAACCGGGAGCAGCTGCCGCCCATGTGCTACAACTACGAGATCCGCATACAGTGCTGCGAGTGGGTGGACAGGTGCGGGGTGACATCCAGCACGCCTGCGACCTTGGCCACCCCTCAGCCCACCGAGCTCCAGGCCAGTACCTCTACACAGGCCACCCAAACCCCGGGGACACACACTTCTTGGGTGTCCACGACCGGGACCCACAGCACCTTTACCCTCAGACCCCACACCAGCACCACTTCCGTCCCCACGACAACCTCCACCTCCACCCTCACCCATAGAACCCACACCAGCACCACCTCTGCCTCCACCTCTACCTCCACCCCCACCCCCAGACCCCACACCAACACCACCTCCATCCCCACAACAACCTCCACCTCCACCCTCACCCATAGAACCCACACCA